TAGAGAATCAGTTAATAGTCTACAAAATAATATTTATTGATAAATAATATGAAACCTTATTTACTCTGATCTTACAAAGACAGTAGCATATGTAGTTTCATGTTTTTGTTGCTTCTCATTATAATTCACACTATGAAAACACAGTGAGAGTTGAAAATTTCAGTTTTGTTCAGTGTCAGTTTACAACTTCAGTCCTTATCTAGGAGAATATCCATGAGCTCCTCACTACTCCCAGTAGCCAGTTGTAGGCTTAGAAGTCTTGGTTTAGGGAAGTTAAAATGTCTGCTTCTTTACTGCATATCCTCCCCTCAATTTTATTTCTATTCCACAGGGAAAAGAACAGGAAGAAGGACAAGAGGAAGCAATTTCAAAACAAATTGGTTTTCACACAGTCCTTACCTGGTGGAATTGTCCTTGCAGTACTTTGCATTGAAAACAAGGGGTGTTGATGAGGACAGCAATCCTTGGAGCAATTTCTGTAGCACCCTCCACTCACAGCTCACATGAAGCAAGCCTGTGATTACTAAGTGTTGTTTGATTTTTTGCAACCTCCTCCTAAACTCATGTGTGAGGCAGCACAGACTCTAAAGCACCTTAATGAGCAGCCTGCAGGATGGGCCAAGTTTTTTTTTAATGGTATCAGGAATTGAACTCAGGGCCTTGTGCTCAAGGGGCAGGTGCTTGTGCCACTGAGCTATATGCCCGGTCCCGGAACCAGCCAAGTCTTGCCTTCTCCTCTTCTAGGCTGGGAAAGACTTACATATCTTTGGTGTCTGTGTGACTGACATCATAAGCTCTTCCCACTGACAATACTCTCCAACAGTACCTTTTTTCTACTTAAAATGAGAGCAGGTATATTATTTTGTAGTGACATTCATTAGGGGCTAAATTTTGAGTCATCCATATCTTCTTCAAATATGTAATTCCTTGGACAATAGCACTCCATATTGTTTCATTTCAGGGAAAGATTTTAGATAGGGAGGGCAAAGGGGTCCGCTGGAACAGTTTGCTTGCATCAAGGTCTGTGCAGTGGGCAGGCTTCTCACACAGAATATACATGATCCTCATCCCAGAGCCCAGGACTGGGAGCTGCCACACTGGGATGTTGCTCATCAAGGCTGTAGCACTGCTAGACATGACAAAAACCTTTTTCCACCCTTTAGAGTCTCTTTATTCCATTATTGTTCTTTTCTGGATGCTGTGAGGCTTAGAGAACAAAAGAGTAGACAGAAGACTAAAATCTAAGATCACACCTACTTTTATGTAGGTCCCAGTACTGAAGCCTGCGTGGCATTGGCAGGAAAACACAGAGTGCTAAACTGTGTGAGGTTTCTAAGTTTTCTTCTTAATTAGAATGGATGTTGAAGGGGTTAAGGAAATTGATGTGAAGGCTAAGAAATAATCCCAAAGTATAGTTATATATGAAAAAGGGAGACTCAACAGAGCAGATTTCCATGAAGGGAGAGATGACATGGTTTGGGCATTTACTGTTTGAGAAGTGTGGAAGTTTAGCCTGTCCCATGCTAATGGTATACAGATGTATCAGGGCTCACAGTGCAGTCAGAGGGAAAAATGAATTTCATGACAGTAGACTTGACACTTTTCTTAATAATTTGAAGACTGTACCACATTCTCAAACATTTTGAGATCTCACTGATTTAATAGAAAGGGAAAAAAAATACTTTATTTATGAGACATAGTTTTCTTAAGTTTTTCTTTTTTGTCTATATTATCAATAACAAGATTTGCTGCTGAAGTAGTATACAAGTTGTGATTACTTGATTTCAGTGTTTCAGTGTTCAGATTCTGTATTCTACAGTAGTAGAGGACAACAATAGCAGGCAATGATGAACCAGTGTCAGCACCATTTTGAAAGCTAAAGCAAGGCCGTGAGATGCCTTATTTTGCTTTGGTATAGGGTCTGATAGATTCTGGAACCTGAAGCAGTTAGAGGGATCTGGAGAAAGAACTCAGGTTGCATGAGGAATTATAAGATATCTTCAATAACCAATGAGCATTTCATCATTTTAATAGCTGAGATAGCTGAATGGATGTACACCATATGAAAATCAAGCCAGTTAGGCACATAATTTTGTTATAATATTCCTGAAATTTCACGGAAATATTCCAAAGCACATATCCAAAAATCGAGGGGATCAAGTCAACTTAAATAACCAAGCAAACACACCATCCAACACACATGGAAATTAGCCAGACAGGGAAGAGTCCGTTGCAGCAGAACTTGAGAAAAATTCTAAGTCCCAGAAATAACAATTAGAGAGAAAGAAGGAGTGAATGCCGTCAGAGCAATCCTGCAGAATGATTTTTTTCTGAGGTTAGGCAGATCTAAGGCTTCAAAACCCAAGTCAGAACACAGAGCTAGTGGAGAAAGCAAATCTCAAAATTCAAACAACAAGAGCCAAAGAAGGTGGCTTAAGTATTGTTTATAGTTCCTGCTAAAATATTCCTGAAAGTTTAGAGAGAAATGATTTACAATTGTGAGTGATTTTTGACAGAATTATTCATCTAGTTCTATTTAATATTATAATCCAGGTAACATGAACTTCTTCTAGCACGGTTAGCATAACTCAGGCTGCGGAAACATTCCCTCACGTGCACTTGAACTGGACAACACTCCAGGGCCAGCAGCAGAAAGAAGAGTAACAAATGCCCAGGAAATCTCTCAGATCGCAGGCTGGAGCGCAGGAGCGTGAGACCCTGCTGCTTGGACTACAGTAACCTTTGTCCCACTCGAAGTGTGTGAAAGATTCCTAAGTAGCGATCGTGGGTCATGCACATGAGCAAAACAGAGCAAACTGTGGGAGACCCACGTGTCCTGCAGCCCCTGAGAGGACTGCACACCCGGGAATGATTTCCTGAAGTCCTAGCCAGGGAGATCCAAAGAGGCGCACCTGGTGAGGGGTCACGGCTTTTAGATTCATCCCCTGATTGTCTCCTTCTCTTAGTCACCTGGTGAGGGGTCACAGCACAGGTGTTTTCCTCTTCGTGTCACCTTTTGTTTCTGTTGGTGCAAACCCGCACAGCAGAGCACATATTCCCTGTTAGTTTCCATAAATGTAGCTGCTTTTTCCATTGTATTTTGCACTATGTGGTGCATTCTTGCAATCCTTTGCTCCATATAAACACCAACCTAGAATCAATTCTCAGACCCATCACTTTCACAGTGAGAACTGCTTTACCCAACTTTGTTGTATGTGTCAGAAATCTTCTTGAAATAATGTAATTATGCTGGGAAAACAAATACAAACAAAAGAAGATGGAACATGCTGAATGCATGCCTATGTGTTGGTTTTTTAATTGATTTTATTTAGGAACAGCTATTGTAATTTAAACCACTGGAATAAAAATCAATTGACAGTATTTAGCCTGGAAACTATAGAATTGTGAGTAAATGACTCACATCTAGGATACATTTAATTACTTGTGAATCACATAGAGAGATTAAGTTTCTCAAAATACAGTACAGTCAGAAATAATACAATATCTGAAGAAAGGTTTAGCAATCCAAAGCAATTGTTTAATAATAGAAGAAATTGTGTTCTAATAATAAATACTATTGGTATATGATTCAAATGAAATTAGAGACAATATTAAGAATATTTTCGAATGTATTCTTTCCCCAAAGATATGATGCTAGGTTTTTTAAAATTTGGTGCTTGTAAGAAGCTTAGATATCACATTGTTTCTCTTGTATGACAAACTGAACCATTAATAGAGAGAAACATAAATAATAGAAGTAGGGAGAGAGATCTTTGACAAAGGAAGGGGACCAAGAGCAGGAGGGACAGGGCAGAGGAGAGTGAAAAGCAGAATGCATGTGTGTCCTGTACTGTGCCAACTTCCCAAGAGGAATGGGTTTGTCATATGCCACAAACATGTGCCAAGAAAAAAATTAGCAATCAGGAAAAAACAACAAACATGAATAAATAAATAAGGGAATAAATAAGGGAAACTAGAATAGAACCCAGAAGTTTTTCATGTTATTCATAGAACACAAAGCCCCCTAATCTGAATATAAAGAGGAATTCATTCCTAATTCTGGTGTATGTATTGTGTGAATCACAATACATGTTGTTTTTGAGCTGTGTTACTAAAACATATTATCTGCCTTTGTTACTATGTGGCGTTGTACACTCCATCTCAGTATTCTCTTTGAATATATTTAGATTTATATTTTCATGTGCATCTTTAAAAGTTACATAAATGTTTGTGAAAACTTCAAACGTGAGCAACACATTTTTTAGAAATGTGGTTAGGTTGTAAGAATCTTATGCTTCCTAATTTAAATGTCTAACAACTTGTAAACTTTCTGAACTTCATGTAACTTTTTTAGAATGCGGTGATTATAAACAAAAAACTCACTGAACACTAGAATATGTTATTTGTGATATGAGTTTTCTGTTTCTTTGAAACCATGGAAACTTATATTATTACTCCTGACTTATTAATCCTGACCCTGCTATATTTATCAGTACACAAATCTGAACTACCTGTGTAGATACTTTGGCTCCTCTGATGAGTTATTGCTAACTTTCCTTTAGTTAATTTACATTATATTAAGGAAATGCTACAATACGGAAGATATATATCCAGGAATTAAACTTAAGTAGGCTAAAACAAAAGCCAAGCTTCAGTATTTAAATAGATCTAATATCTATTTTCTGTTGCACATTGTCAGGAGTATAATAAGGGAATCTGACATTTAAGGAACTCATGGAAACCTTTGTAGCCCAAGATCACAGCAATAAGTGGCAGAGCTGGCACCATGGTGACGTGCTCTCATTAAATTTGGCTTTTAATGTGATGATTACCAGAAGACATTGACCTTGAATGTCATCCAGGTCTGACCAGGGTCAACGGTGAACTGAACCATATGCAATTGTTTTACATTAAGAACTACAGAACACGGGTGAGCATGTCTTTCCCCTATACTGTGATTACCACAAAATTCTTTTCAGTTGCCTCATGAAAACAAAAACCTACTCAGAAAACAGCTTTATTACTGAGGAATTCTCTCTGAACACTTTTCCTGTAACGATTAATTTGATGGCTTTTCGAAACCAAGGGTAAAAGAAAGCATAAATCAAGGGATTCATTGCCGAGTTGTAGTAAACGATCCAAACTAATATTTCATACACGTATGTGGGTGTGATGAAACCCAGGAAGGCATCGATGAGGGAATCAATGAAGTACGGCAACCATGAAATCAGAAAAGCTATCACTGCGATGCCCAGGGTTGTGGCTGCTTTTCTCTCCCTCCTGGCTACCCTGTCTTTGTAACTGTCTGATGGTTTTGCAGTCTTATTGCTCAGACTTTCAATTTTCCTAGCCTGTTGCCTAGCTATCAGGAAAATCTTGGAGTAAACAATTACCATCACAAGAGCGGGAATGAAAAATAACAGAAAGTCGATCAAAACCCAGTTTTGATTGACTGCAATCTGACAGCCTCCCACACAGGTGAGTGCACTCACTAGTTCCTCCAGCCCAGCTTTGTTTGCCCCTGTGTAAAGAAGGGAAAAAATAAAGACAACAGCACTCAGCCAGGAGAAGGCGATACACATGCCAGACACAGAAACAGTGAACCTGGTGGGATAGACCAGAGGGTCAGTGACAGCGATGTATCTATCGATGGAGATAAAGCACAAGTGGAAAATAGAACAGTAACAGAAGGAGCCAATCAAAACAGGAGTGGAGTTTACAGAAACTGTCCCCAAAGTACCAGCAGCTCTCCACAGACCTGACCATGCTGAAGGGCATCACAGTCGTCCCCACCATGAAGTCAGCACAGGCCAGAGAGGCGATCAGAAAGTTGGCTGGGGAGTGGAGCTGCTTGAAGTGGAGAATGGAGGTGATGACCAGCAGGTTTCCCAAGACAGCCAGCACAGCCCCAGAGCCAAAGACCAGGTAGAGGAGCAGGCGGGGGCCCGGGGAGTAGGGAGCTTTGACACAGGATCTGTTCACATTTTCATAGCACAGCTGGACGGCTGCAGGAGGGGTCAGGTCACCACTCATGGTCCTCTGGGCACCTGATAGTGGAATAATCTTCAGTATTCCAGTGTGTGATTCTTGTTTTCAAAAACTTTCAAAAGACATAAAATACGGAATGATTGTAAGTTAATAATTTATTTCCTTTCCTTGTGTCTTATTCCAATTTGTAGAAACTGATGTCTTCATCTAATAACATTATTCCCTTCCTGACACACAGGCAATCAACTTTCATCATCGTATAAAATGCTGCTTTCTCTGTTTTGAATATTTTCTTTCTTGCCTCTTTTTCATATCTGAGCAGCATTTGTCTTCAAAAGGAAGAATCTGTTTTCTGATATGTCTGAGTACTGCCTTTTAAAAGGATTCTTATCCCAATTAAATAAAACAAGGGTCATGTTCTGAATGTTTTCCCCCTCAGGAAAGTGGCTTAATGATTCCACATATGTAATACTGCTGAGACTGAATCCCACAGTGCAAGGTGAGGCAAGACACTTTAAAGAAATATTCTGCTTATGCCACAACCAAATACATCTCCTCTAATTTGCTGATGGCATTTTGTGATTTCAAACACTTGAGACAGAAATAATTTGTGTCCCGACAAGCCCCTGCTGGGAATTTGAAAGCACATTGTTTGTTCGGATTAATTATACATCATCTTTTTCATGTCTAGAAATATTTATCAATGAATCTGGTGCTCCAGTTAAAACCCTTTAGATAAGCTCTTAATCCCGTCTCTCACTGATGTGTATGTTTTAAATTTCATCTCTTTAGTGTCTTTGTGATACACAGCAGACAGGTTCATCTTGCGGAACTGTGTCGCACACACATCGCATCCTGAGGCTTTCTTTTCCCTTTGCCTCTCACTCTCTTCTCTTCCCTTTTGCCTGACTTTCCTTCCTTTCCCTTTTTTTTTTTTTTTTTTTTTGTCTTTGTCTTTTTCCTTTTTATCTGTACCAGGAATCGAACTCAGGACTGCCTGCTTGCAAGGCAGGCACTTTATGCCGCTGAGCTAAATCCCCAGCCCCTTGCCTGACTTTCTTGTTCTTTCAAAGAATGAACTTTTAGCTTTAGTGATCCTCTGTATGTTAATCCAGACTGCAATAATTTCCACTTTGATCTTTCTTTTTCTATGTTTGTATTAGTTTTAGATTTGTGCCTTTCTTGTTTTCCTAGAACCCTGATATGCATCATGAGGTTATTTATTGTTCTCTTTATGTGTGTTTTACACCTATATCCTTCCTTCTGAGAATGGCTTCATTATGTCCCTTACATATCATGCTTCTCTTGTTGTTTGATTTTAGAAAGTTGATATTTCTTCTTTGGTATCTGCTGTGATCCATTGATTTTTCACTAATGTATTATTTAATACCCCAGTGTTTCCATATTTTCTGTGGCTTCTTTTGCTGCATGTTTCTAACTTCATTCCATTATTATTCAGTCAATTTATGTGATTATTTCAGTTCTGTATTTATTTAAGCATGCTTTATGGTTGAAGATATCTATTCAGAGAAAAATCCAGATATTGTTGATAAAAATCTGTGTTTATTTGTTGTTTGGTAAAAAACTCTATAGATATCTGCTAAGTCTTTATTCAATGGTGTATTTTAAGCCTGGTGTTTCCTTGTTTTTTTCTGGTTGACCTCGTTAAGGGGAGATTGAGGTTCCTGGCTATCAGAATCTATCTGCCCTAATAAGTCCAGAAGTTTTTATTTTATGAAATTACATGTGCTGACATTCATTGAACAGATATTTATAATTGCTATTTCTTCCTACTTAATTATTTCTTTTGCCAGTTATAGAGTGGCAGTATTTGTTTCTTCTGATAGGTTTTAGCTTAACATTGTCTGTGTCTGACATATGATAGCTACTCCTGCCTGTTTTGGGGCTCTGGTTGAATCTTGTATTATTTTCCATGCCTTTATCTTTAGTCTATGTAGTTCTTTTTTTATTTTTCACTTTTATTTTAAAGGTAGTAAATACAACACAACAAAGCCAATCGAGACAATGCAGTGAAATTGATGCAGAACTTCACAGCAGGATATAGGGATAACAGTAACAGGTACCATAGTATATCTCGTTATCTTCACAATAGTTGTCCATTCAATCAGGTATAACAAAATCAAACCAAAAACAGAACTTTATAAAACCTATCCAAGCAGAATATTGAACAGAGCAAAACAATCAGAATAAAGCAACAGAGTGAAAACAATATTTGCCTTCAAAGAGAAGATAGAAGGAAATACCCCATATTTGCTATATTGCATACAGTCATCCTCCCAAGAGATGCTCAGATCTCTGGCTCCAAGTTGCTAACGGGGGAAGGGGTGGGATGGGATGCTTGTTTCTCTGTGCCGGTAGGCCCATGGGAGATGCTGACTGATTCTCTTCCTGGCTCGCCCACTGCTTGCTCATGCCATGGCTGCTTACCAGGAAGGGGATTGTGTTGCTTTCTTGCTCAGCGCCCTAAGTTCCAACATGGCTGGATCTCAGGAGACACTGAGTGGTTTCTATGTAGTTCTTTTTAACCTGTTCTCTGGTAGGCAATGTGTGCTGCATTGTGTTTTTTGTTTCTATCTGTCAGTCTCTTTTAATTGATGAGTTGAGACTATTGATACTGAGAATTATTATTGTAAGGTGTTTATTAAATTCTATTATTGTATGCTTCTAGTGTGAATTCTTCTAATTTTTTCTTTTGTTTAACTACTCTCTCAGGTGCACGTGTACCTTATTTTGGGGTTTTTGGCTTGGTGGCTTGCTTGTCTCTGTGTAACATTCCGTTAAAAATTTTCTGTTACACAACATTTGTGGTCATGTATTTTTTTACAATTTACTTTTTGTTGTGAAATATCTTTATTTCTCAATTATTTAGAATGCAAATTTTACAGGATATAGAGATCTGGGATAGGAATTATTTTCTTTTTAATATTGAATAATCTTCTCTAGTTTCTTTAGATTTGTGCTGGCCTTTATTCTGATGACTTTGCCTTTATAAATTACATTGTTTTTCTTTTAAGGATTTTAGTACTGTCACCTTTTGTTGAAATTTTGTTATAATGTGAATGGAGTGGGTCTTTCCTGGTCATAACTAGTTGGGGTTCTGGATACTCCTGTACTCGAATATTGCATCCTTTCCCTGGACTTGGCCATTTTTTTATGATTTCCATGAATAATTTTTTATACCTTTGAGTCATCTTTATCATTTCTATAAGTCTGTGTTTGGTCATTTTTAGGTCTTCAGTAGCTATTACCTCGAAATTGCACATTGTGTGTTCTTTAGGATATTACTGTTTATGCCCTACTATGTTCATCTTGTCTTTTATTTCCGTAGTATAGCTATTGTCACATTAATCTAAATGTGCTATCTATGATTTCTAATAGTTATATAGAAAACAAGTTTATTAAAAAGAGCAAAATAAAAGCTAGGTAATAGGAAACAAGGAGATACATCTTTCTTGATTAAGGGAATCAAGAGATGAAGAGGGTGGAAGAAGGGAAAGGGTATGAAAAAGAGCTGCATAAGCTGCATAACATACAGGTACCAACCCCAGCCTTGCAATGTAAATGTTTTGTACTGAAATCATGTACTAAGAAAAAACACTCAATCATTTTCTCATGTCTGTCTCTGCTTTTATTTTAATACTTTCTAATTCTTTTACAAATGGTCATTCATGTCTTTTTTTGTCTTACTTAACTCAATTTACTGTTTGCTTCTTCTTTAATTTCATTGAACTTTTTACATGTATGACCCTTATCTCTTTAATTAAATCGTATTTGAGCTTGTTAATTTTGCATTTGCATAAGTGTTTCTTTTATATCTCTTCAACTGTTTTGACCATTAGGTTTTGAGTTCTTTCTCTGTAGCTTTCTCTACTTTTGTGTCCATGAGATCAGCTTTTGGGGAATTAGAGTTGTAAGGGTGTTTCTCTTGCTTTTTTCTCCATCTATTGTTTTTGCACTGCGGGTTATGGATCAGCTAAGGTAGAGATACACTGTCACCACTATAGAGATCCCTTTAGGTAGGTTCTGTTTCTCTGTGAAGTGTCCTTGTATTTGCTTATGTTTTGGAGTCTATCCTCCTTTTCAACATAATTAAAATAAGGTTTTTTCAGTGTTTATTTTTTATTATTACATGTTTGCATTACACAATGTTTACATTCCCTGAGAAGGGTTGGCACATGTACATAGCACTTCCCAGTCTTCTTTTCATTCTCTTTCACTCCACTCCCTCCCAAATACCCAACTTCTTCATCCTTTTCCCATTTGAAAACATTTATGTCCTTGCTTCCCATTATCTAGCTTAGATTCTGCTCTTTATTTATATTTTGTGCTTCTCATGTAAGAGAAAGTAAGTGATATTTGGACTGTGTATCTGATTTATTTCACTTAACATTAGGATCTCCAGGTGCGCCCACTTTCCTACAAATGAATCAAGTTATCTTTCTTCATAGTAGAGGAGAAATGCCAAAATTTTCATATTCATTCATCTGCTAATAGACATATAGTTTGCTCCCAAGATTTAATCATTATGAACTGTGCTGTTATAAACAGGGCTATATGTGTACCTCTGTAGTATGGTATCTACAAACTTTAGGTAAAATACCCAGAGGAACAGCTGCATTAAACACAATTCCTGGTGTTTGTTTTATGAAGAATCCCCACAAACATTTTTATAGAAGTTGTACTAGTTTACATTTCCAATCAAGAGTGTATGAGGGTTTCTTTTTCCCCAAAGCCTCATCAGAATTTGTTATTATTTGATTTCTTGGTTATAACCATTGTTACTTGGGTATATGAAATATCAGTATTGTAGAAGTTTCTAATGACCTACAATGTTAACATTTTTTGATGTATTTATGGTTCATTTTTACTTCTGAGAAGTGTTTGTTCATTTCAGTTGTTCATTTTTTGACTGTGTCCTATAGTTTAACATATTGAGTCTAATGTATATGGTCTAATGTAATTGAGCTGTTTATATTTCTAGACTTAGCACTATGTTTGAGGAATTTGACTAAATTTTCCCCATTGTGTAGATTTGTCTCTTCACTGTGTTGGTTGCT